CCTCTCTCATATGACCCGAACAATAGTATATTTTATCCTTACAATAGAAAAAATATCAATGGGGTATCCGGCCAGACTGGCCAACCCCATATATATACAGTAAAACCTCCCTAAAGTGAACACTAATGGGACTGGTTAAAACATGTTCACTATAGGAGGTGTTCACTATATAGAGGTGTCATAATGAATAAACTATTACATGTATACTGTGTATGATGAGTGTTACATGTTGATGAGTACGCACGTTTTTTGTTAGAATTTCCTCTGATTACTTAGTGCATAGAATAAAAAAATCATTTCTTCAATTTATGACATATATTTATTTCAAATTTTATAAAACAAAATAACAAAAAAAATATTTCTTTTATAGATTATACATTTTTATTTAATTTTTACAAAAGAAATCATCAATCTTAGTTTGTTTCGCACCTTTGGAATCGATAAAGAGTTGAGTCAGTTGTGAATCTAATTGAGAAATAAGTGAATGTAATTCTGGATATTGAGTAGAAGCCAGAAGGTGTAACTTTTTAGCCATTTCCATTGCATCGATGAGTTTTGGTGGTGCTTCAGTTAGTATATCATCATCCTGATCATTATTATTATGTTTTTTATTGACATATTCTTCATCGACGATGATTACATCATTGTCTGATTCATTCCATTCATTGAAAGTTGGTGTATCTAAGTCCATTTCGACGAATTCACTTGCTGAAAGACTTTGTCCATCAATATGAATATGAGCAAGAAGAGTATCAAGATCTTTTAATGCTGTTGTAATATCATCAATAATAGTTTCTTCATTTGTATCATTTTCATTGTCGATTGTACCACTAATAGTATCTTGAGTATTTGGATGAACGAAGCCTGCCATACGAAATGTGTTGCGGATTGTTAATTGAGTGACACTTTCCCAAGCATTTTTTGTCCAAGTTACGGCATCAAGAGCAGTAATAATAATGTCATCTGGTGATGTAGCAAGGGCACAACGTGATATTACATGCTTCACAAGATGTTGACCTAAATGAAGTCAGTTATATTTTTCAAAATGTCGAAAAACAGAATACTTACGATAATAACACTTGAAATTCTTGATTATACCTTGGTCAAGTGGTTGTAGCTTCGATGTTGTGTTTGGAGGAAAGAATTTAACACATATGTTGGAATATTCAACGTCGGGATTATGACATGGTGCATGGTCCATAAACAATAAAATTTTACGCTTTTGTTTAATCATACTTTTGTTCACGGTAATCAGCCAGTCTTCAAAGAGGCTGGCTGTCATCCAGCTGCTACGATTTGATCGCCAGGTAATAGGTAAGTTTTTCACATTTAAATTCTTGAAGCATCGTGGATTAGCAGATTTACCTAAAACGGAAACATTAACATTTATTATAAGGAAAGACTAAACAGAAAATGCAGACCTGACCGATCATAAGCGGTTTTAATTTGTCTGTACCTGTCATATTGGTACACAGCAAAACTGTAAAACGTTCTTTGGACCGTTTCCCGCCTTTGCAAGAATCTTTGGCCGTAACAAGCGAACGATTTGGTAGTGCTTTGAAGAATAATCCAGTTTCGTCTGCATTATAAATATCATTGGGATTATATTTGTCAATCATTACCACCAGGCGCTTTTTCCACTCGTCAACAGTTGCAGGATCGACTGATGCTGATTCACCATTGATAGTTCGATATTGTATACCATGACGTTTACGAAACTTTTTTAGCCAACCATTGCTTGCTTTGAAATCGTCAGCATTTGAACCACCTAGTTGTTGACGAATTTGTCTTGCTTGCTCTTGCAAAAGAGGACCCGAGATAGGAATATTCTTACTGCGTTGTTGTACAAACCATTCATATACTTTCTGATCTAGTTGTTGACTGAATTCATCACGTAGATTACGCTTCTTGTTTGAGTTTTCATTTTGTTCATAATTCTCAATGTACTCAACTTTGCGCTTAACAATATTTGAAACACTTCCGATCGAGATTTTGTACTCACCAGCCAATTTACGGTACGGTACATTTTGTTCGTTTTTACGAATCAACTCTACTTTTTCAGCAAGTGTTAAATCGCGTCTTGCTGCCATCTTACAAGTGTGAATAGAAAGGAGTGATATTCTTACAGACACAGACGACCAATTCGTTATTGCCTATTCATTCTTATTGTTCTTTTTGTTCAATACATGCGACATATCAATTAGAGATGAACTTTTGACTATCATTCGTCTTTTATTTTATGCATGCGACCATTTTTTTTATAATAAGTAGACCGTCAATAAATTTAGCGGTCATTGCTTCGAAATGTACAATATTTGTCCTCGATTTTTATCTTCTCAAGCGCATATTTTCTTGTACATATGTTCACTATATAGAGGTTTTTTTACTATTGGGACCAAAAAAAAGTGTTCACTGTTCAGAGTTGGGAGGTGTTCACTATACAGAGGTCTATTTACAGCAAAAATCGATCGGGCGGTTCAGATTATCCGTTCAGACGAGAGGTGTTCACTATATAGAGGTGTTCACTATGGGAGGTTTTACTGTACATTGTTTCTAAATCAAATTAAAACATAATTAAACAATTGAAAGACAACAAAAACGCGAAATGTTTTATTCTCAACACTGAGTGCTTATTCCTGATTCCGTTGAGTAATAACAAACAATCATGAGACTAAAGCCCATTGTGTGCAAAAGTTTCGTATCTGAACACGGTTTATTTAAGTTTTTGGAATCCGAACCTGATCGAACCGTACTTCATACTCTTAATGTAATTTTCTAATCGGCATTGAATGGTCACCCCGCAGATACGAGATATTTTTTTCTGTTTTTTTTTGTATTCGATGACTAGCGCACCCTATACATTTCTCAAATGACTAGAATCCATCGGGTCGAAAATTTTCGGATCCGAGTTCGGGACCAATCTGACAGACTCAACATGCAACACTTACAAGAAGTGGATAGACAGGCTGTAGATATTTAAAAGAAAAAGAAACCAATATTAGACAGCAGCAACAATGCTTGGTGTAATATATCTCGTCGTGTTTGTGTGAACAGCTAGTAACATTAAATCATATCAACACGTATTGATTGACCTCTGATTAAAAAAGTTGAATTAATAAATTGTTGAGAAAAAGAAAAATATCACCTTGTGCAGCCGAAAAGTGATTGCAATTGAATGCCTATAGATTACAAAAAGAAACTGAGCACTTTCGACCGGTTCCAATGGTGCCCACATTAAAGAGGTTTGTTTTTCTCCTTCAATTAACCTTTAACAATAATGATCTTTTTTCTATGTTATAGCACAATATTGATTATAGATTAATTCGATCATTCATTAATTCAAAGAAATTTGAATCTTACCACTCTCATTGACATTTTGATTATGACAATAAGATTCATCAACAGCTTGTCGAAATGAATCATTACATGCTCGTCTACGTAATTTTGCTTGACGTTTACGTTCTTCATTATTAAGAAGTACAACATTTGGTGAATCATGTCCTTCAGGTATTGTATAAATACTTTCAAATGATGATAAATGAATAAGATCAGGTAATGAACGATTATTATTATTATTATTTTTCGATGATGATGAATCAGGCAATGTTCGTATTGGTTGTTCTATTTACAAAAAAATTAATCTATTAAATAAATATGTTTTTAATAAAAAAACAAAAACACATGCTCATTATGAATATTGTTTTCCTTTTAGAAAAACATGCAAACAAAAAATGGTTAATTGACAAGAGATCTGTTTGTCTCGTTATAGAATATCAATAATGATTATCTATCTCATTTAAATCATCATCAGATAAATCAATTATAGGTGTAAGAATTTCAATTGATGGTTCATTCAATAATGGATATGATTCTGCAATTAATACAATTGAGAAAAAAAAACAAATCTTGATTATCAAATCTGACAGAAGTTTCGTGAAATTTTCTATTTTGAATGTAACTTTAAAATTTTGATTGTTTTTTTTTTGTCGAAAAGATATTCTACTCGAAGCATAAGACAAAATCTTTATAACTATTTTAATAGACTACTAACAACTGAACATGTGTATCATCGTGAATTACTGTTCATTCATTTTCGTTATAATTTTCGAAAATATCTATATAGATTTTCTTTAATGATCCGAATAGAATATTAAATGTTTTATTATGTTCCTGAATCGAGTTATATGTAAAATAAAGAATGTTGCAAAACTTATGACACACTCAATAATCAAAGCGAATATATTATTTATAGGTGAAAATAAATACCAAGCTAAATTAAAAATAAAAAAGACAATAAATTTTTGCTTGACTTACTTCGTTCAGTTAGTGTTCGACCATCATGCAATGATCGTTGTTTCCATTGAATAATTAGTTTATTTGATTGATGAGTTACACGACGTTTTTCTGAGATACTTTGACGAAATGGTGTTTCACGTACAAATGGAATAATGCTAAATGATTTATTTATGTTTTATTTTTTTTGAATTAGTCTTTCTTTCTTATTGTAAATTTTCCGAACTGATACTCAACATTCGAGTTCATATTTATTTTTTCCTACAAATAGAAATCTGTAAGATTAGAATAAGCCTAGAAGGATTCGTTCTATTAGGCTTTCCTTTCAGAGTAATGATCAGTTTAATGAAATTTCATAAAGAGGGCCAAGAGCCGTTAGAATCTTGTCAAAGTTTCAATCGATACATATGATCCCCTCTTGAGAAGTTGATTGTTCAAAACTAACTTTTCTATAACATTTAACATCTCAAGAAGGATGCATCAATTTTGACTGAAACTTTTACAAGATTCTAGCTGCTATTGGAGCTTTTTATGAACAAAAAAGTTGCACGAAAAACTTCCTTCATTTGATTTTTCTATGAATATTAGGGATGTAACGATGATGACGATCACTGATGGAGTCCGTAAGGTCGAAAACTTCCTGACCGGGACCTGGGGATTTTATCCAGATTTTCTCTTTCGGAAGGGCCAATTCGACCGTTAGAGAAGCATCGCACTCATGCTGAATAAAACACTGACTGAACTCGGTTAACAGAAAAATTTCAGACCCTAATTTGGGTTTGAGACTAACCCGACGGGCTCTACTTAGTGGGTGGGTGTGGGTGTGGGTGTGGGTGTGGGGTGTGGGTGTGGGTGTGGGTGTGGGTGTGGGGTGGGTGTGGGGTGGGTGTGGGTGGGTGGGTGTGGGTGGGTGTGTAACAGCTACCATAATCTAGATTTCATCTCGGCTGAGAGAATCGTCAGATGGCTTAAAATTCTAAAAGGATTTCGAAAAATCACAAGAATTTTGCTGAATTTATTCTGTTCTAAAATTTTCAACAAATTCTAGATTGATAAATTCATTTTACAGTAGTGTGTAACAGCTACGATGATATCGATATTTCACTTAAGCAACTAGGATTGTCAAATGGCTCTCGTAACGAATTTCAAAGAATTCTCCGAAAAAGAGAATTTTTTGTCGAAGTAGGGTATTCGTGTGGATGGATGGGTGTGAATGTGAGAAGCGGTCACAATGCTAAGTTTTAGTATTTCATTAATGGTAAATGAAAATGATCAAGTGGCAAATATTTGTGCAACTGATTCAAATAGGGTTTTAATAACTGGATCATTGTCTTCGTTCTCATTTCATGTGTTTCTTACATTTTCAGTTTTCGTTCGATCTCTGAAATAGATAGAGAATTATGTATGATATAGTAAGCAATAATTTGAAATAGCAGAATTTTATTTTTTATCTCTTACTGTCTTTATATTGACATAAACTAAAGTATTGCTCTTTTCTCTGAGCTAGATAATACAATGGAGGCCATGATAACGAGAGTTTCTACAAAAAGACAATAGAATACGAAACGTTTCTTTGTATTCGAGACAATTTACTGCTCTATATGAATGATAATTGTTCTCTAATTGTTTAGATGTATCTTTTCGTTTGGTTTTTTCTAGATGGTTTAACAGGCTTTGATATTCTCATTGTTGTTTTCTTTGTTT